AGTATTGTAACAAAAAAAGGGGAGTGATTAATCTTACAGTCCAGAAACAGAGGACCCTAGGACCATCAAGAGAGGAACACACAAATAGAATGTGGAACCTTATCCAGAGAAGCAGCAGCACCAGAGATGGAGGCAGAGACGGGGGCATGGAGAGGGGGAGCGGCTGAGGACTCTAGATTCTTCTTCCCCACTGGGTTTGTCTTCATCTTCCTCCTCTTTGAAATAAAAATCTTCATCCTCATCCTTGTCATCTTCTTCATCCTCACCGTCCACTTCAAAATCTGAGTCAGGGGCTTCCTGGTCCTCTGGGTCGTAGCCATTCAGGTAGGTCAGCTGAGGAAGGAGTTTGAATACACCCTCTTGGTAATCATTCAAGTTGGTAATCTCACAGTTAAACAGATCCAGGCTTTTCAGGCATTCTAGTTTTTTCAAAGGTTCCAAGGTGCTGATATCTTTCAGTTTATTTCCACTTAAGTTTAGATGTGTGAGGTTTGGAAGTTTTTCTGCTAACACCTCTAGACCTCCAAAGATTCTACTGTCACTAGGCTCAAGCTTTTCCAATTTTGGCAGTTTGGGGAGATTCAAGACTGAAATCAAGCTTACATTTATTAAACTGAGGAACTCTAAGTTCACAAATTCAGCTGTTAAACCCTCAAGTTTTCTATCATTTGATCTGCAGTTGTCTAGGACAAGTTCTTGAACAGTCTCCGGGGTCAGGTGCCTCAGCTCCTTCATGCTTCCCTCTGCCCCCCTCGTCAAACTTAGCATTCCCCGGAGGGGGGAGAGGTGTTCTGCGCTGTGCAGCGAGGTCCGTCGGAATATGTATGCTTGCGGCAGCGACGGGCAGCGCGGTCCCGGGTGGCAGGTGGGCAGGTGAGTGAAGCCCCTGGAGCCAACTTAACTCTCCGGAGTGGAGAGAGCTATCAGTACTTTAATTGTTAAATTATGGAGTTAGATTTCAGTGGTATATTTCTGCGAGACTGTTTTCAATAGCAAAGCATTTAAAATATTTATTTGGAAAGAATGGTTTATAAGGTACTATGATGGTTTCCTGAATGATGCTTACTTAGTCTACTGAAAGAAAAGTACTGTCTAGAGACCACCAGTTGACTGTCAGTTTGTCCTGATGGGGTGGCTTGTGTGTTGCTGTGATGCTGGAAGCTATGCCACTGGTATTTTAAATACCAACAGTGTCACCTGTGATGGACAGACTAGGAAGAAGGAAAGGATGAATACTTCTGAATGGTTAACCACTGAAAGCCTTATGAATAGCAGAGGAATGATATATATCATGCCAGATGCAGAAAACATTACGAATAGCAGCAGAACATTGTCGTATAAAAAGCTGGAAGATGTGCCCCTCAGGTTGAAAGGCACTCAAAATGCGACTTGGGGAAGAGCTGCCTCTTCAAATATGAGTTATCCATAATTTGTGATTGGAGCAAAACTTTCAGGGCCTTCATTTGTGAATAGTGCACAACTCAAAATGAGAAGAAGCATCAGATCAAAATGATCAGAACATGGAGTGAACAAAGTATGAATCGAAAGAAAATTGGAAGTTGTGAAAATGAATTGCAACACATAAAAGATTAATGATGTAGCCATTGTTACTGTTGTGTGCCTGGTATTGGTTCCCACTCATAGTGACCCTGCATGGGGTTTTCAAGGCTGTACATCTTTACAGAACCAGAAAGCCTCCTGTGGAGTGGCTGGTAGATTTAAACTGCTAACCACTACACTACTGGTCCGAGGCATTATTGAGCTGAAGTGGACTGTTACTGGCCATTTTGAATTGGGCAGTCATATGGTTTACTATGGATTTCTGGTGTGGCACTATAGGATAAGCACTAGACTGCGAACCACGAGGATAGCAGTTCAAACGCTCATCATCAAAAACCATTTCAAGATATACCTTGAAGTACAATGCTGTCTGTGATAGGATAATATCATACGCCTACAAGGAAGACCAGTTAATATGATATGACTGTTACTCAAAACTATACAATATCCACTAAAGCCAGTAGTAATGAAATTGAAAGAATTCTTCCAATACCTACTGATTACAATTGATTAAACATGCAGTCAAGATGCATTGATAATTACTGGTGATTGAAATGCAATAGTTGGAAGCAAAGAGAAATGATCAGTAGTTAGAAAATAGGGTTTTAATGATAGACATGCTGGAGATCACAATGATAGAATTTTGCAAGATCAACAACTTATTCATTGCAAATACTTTGTATGTGTGTGTGTGTGTGAGTGTGAAACTATTTATTGTGAATTGATTGAAGACTTGCAGAGCAGACCATCAGTTTTACATTCAGCAAGTCGTACACTGTATCTGTCTGTGTATTTACCCATAGAGCACTATTGTTGGCAGGGTTGTGTGTATAACAGTATTTATCGCTATTTCCTGTAATTCTTGCAGTCCTCCCTGAGTCTTCACCTGTCTTCATCATTCTTTTGTCAACATTCCTCTTGCTGTATAATGCCTCTCTAACCAGCAAATCACTCTCCCTTTCCTACGTCTGGTAACCTTAAAAGAATGTTTCTTTTAGCATGAAAACATTTTCTTGTGTTTTATAATAGTTGTCGTATATAGTTATTTGTGAATGACTTATTTGATCAGCATAATGTCTTCAAGGTTCATCCATGTTATAATGTGTTTTGCAGATTCATCATCATTCTTCAGCATTATTGTAGTATTCCACTGTGTGTATATATCAAAGTTTGTTTATCTATTCTTCCATTAATGGGCATTTACAGTATTGCCATCTTTTTGCTCTTGTGAATAGTGCTGCAATTAACATGGATATGCAAATATCTACTTCTGTCGTGACGTTTTTCTTGGGGACATATACCAAGTAATGCGCTCTGGTAGTATAGTGGTTAAGAGTCAGGCATTTTGAAACTACCAGCCATTCCATGGGAGAAAGATGAGGCTTTCTGCACCTGTAAAGATTTACAGCCTCGAAAACCCTATGCAGGGTCGCTGAGTCAGAACCGACTCCATGGCACACAGCCACCAGCCACCATATACCAATTAGATGGATTGCTGGTGTGGCGCTGTAAGATCATCACTGGTCGCTATTAGTTGGAACCGACTAAATGACTTTATTTCCAACTTTTTGAGGAAGCACCATACCGTTTTCCATAGTGGTTGCACCATTTTGCCGTCCCATCAGCAATGTAGAAGGGTCTGAGTTTCTTCACATCTTTGCCAGCAACAGATTACCTTTTTTAAACAACATAATATGTGACTATATACATGTATGGAGTCCTGGTATGGCTCTGTGGTTTAATGTGCTGGACTGCAAAGTCGTTTGAACTGCAAGGTTGGTGGTTCAAGTTCACCAGCTGCTCCTTGGAAACCCTATACAGGGTTGCTATGGATTGGAAATGATTCGATGGGACTTAACGACAACAATATATACATGTACATCACCAAATTGACTACATCTGTGAGGAGAGACCGTAGAGAAGTTCAATATCATCAGCCAAAACCAGATCAGGGCAGCCTGTGGAATGGATCATCAATTACTAATATCCAAGTACTGGCCGAAGCTGAAGAAAATTAAGACACTTCCGTGAGAACCAAAATATGACGTTGAATATATCCCTCTTGAGTTTAGAGATCATTTCAAGATTAGATTTGATTCACTAGGTACTATTGACCGAGAACAGTAGAGTTGTGGGATGATAACCAAGAAATCTTATAGGAACAAAGCAAAAGCTCATTAAAAGGAGAAGAAAGAAAGAAAAGACAAAAATGGGTTTTAGAATTAAAGCGAAACCTTGCTCCTTTAGATGTAGAGAAGCTAATGCGAATGGAAGAATTGATATAAAAGCTGAACAGAAAAATTTAAGGGGCAGCTTGAGAAGACAAAGTAAAATATTATAATGAAATGGGTAAAGACCTAGAATTAGAAAACTAAAAGGGTCAAACAGGCTCAGCATTTCTCAAGCTGAAAGAACTGAAGAAAAAATTCAAGTCTCAACTTGAAATATTGAAGGATTCTATGGGCAAAATATTGAACGATGCAGGAAGCATCAGAAGAAGATTGAAGGGGGAGTGCACAGCATCACTGTACCACAAATAATTTGTTTATACTCAATCATTTCAAGAGGTAGCATGCGATCTAGAATTTATGGTACTGAAGGAAAGAAGTCCAAGCTGCACTGAAGGCATTGGCGAACAGCAAGGCTCCAGGAATTGACAGCAGCAAATTGAAATCTTTCAATAAACTGATGAAGTACTGGAGACTTGTCCATGCCAAGATATCTGGAAGACTGCTCCGTGACCACCCAATTAGAAGAGATCCATATTTGTGCTCATCCAGATGAGAGGTGTTCTAACAGAATTCAGAACTTATTTAAAATCATACGCACCTCAAATTTTTCTGAAGATAATTAAAATCTGGTTGTAATAGTACTTCAACAGGGAACTGCCATAAATTCAATCAGGATTCAAAAGAGTATGTGCAGTTAGAGATATCATTGCATACAATGGACTCAAACATTAGAATAATTGTGAGGATGGCACAGGACCAGGCAGTGTTTCGTTTTTTTGTGCATACGGTCACTGTGAGTCGGAATCAACTCGGGGGCACCTAACACCAATGTTTAGAGAGGTTAAGAAATACAATTTAATAATATTAAATTTTGTTACACTGACTTTATTTTGATGTAAATGATGCATATTTATTGAATGAAATAAGGAGGATAGAGTAGAATAATACATGTATAAGTTCTTGGCTTTGTACAATTTGTATCATCTTTAAAATGTTAGGTATGGGTTACAAACTGGATTTATTCTGGAATTTATCCCTTTTGCATGTGTTAATGATTATTATCTTGCTGCTTTCTCTCTTTCTCTTTTTAGTGAGGGAAGAGGGTTGCACATTTATTTCTTTCTTCCATAAAAAAAGTTGTGAGGCATTCAGTTACCCGCTGCTCTTGGGACTTTAATGTCGTAGGTGTTTGGGCTTCTCATAATTGGGTGTGCCATCCCAATTATGGCTTGTATCTCAAAGTCCAAGAGAATAACCACTGAAGATCCTGCTAGACAGTTGATTCCCGCCAGTGGTAGAGGAGGGGTTTGAATCCCCTTTCTCTTGAAGAAGTAGTATCTGTGCACCAGTATAAGCAGTCCTTGGATTACAAACGAGTTCCTTTCCAAAACCTCTTGTCAAGGTGATTTTGTATGCAATTTGGAGCAGTTAGGTACAGTTAGTATCTAATGTCAGTTATCAAATACTTGTCTAAGTATGTAGTATACTGTTCCATGAATGGAACTCATTAAAGAAACACTCCCAGACAACACTGAAACATAATAATACAGTAATAATTGTTGTTGTTGTTATGTGCCGTGGAGTCGGTTCTGACTCACATAGCAACCCTGTACAGGGTTTCAGAGGCTGTAAATCTTTATGGGAGTAGAAAGCCTCATCTTTCTCCGGCGGAACAGCTGGTGGTTTCAAACTACTGACCCTGAGGCTTCCAGATCTGGAATAGGTGTTGGGAGTAGGAGTTAGTGTGTTTGAAGTATAATATGAGAAGGGAGAAGACAATTGAAAGATAGTTTATGGTAATTTAAAACTATTGATAAGAGTGTTTGGCAAAATGTAGCTGTTAACTCTGAATTGTAGCTATTGTTATTACACTAGAGATTTTATGAATCTCATAATTCAATAAAGTTCTTCCTGCCTGTGGGAAATGCAGATATTATTTATACTGGAGAACAATTTTGTTTATATCTACAGGGACCACAGTGATAATTTAGATTTGTACTTTATGAATAAAGTTATCAAAGTACTCCTGTATTGTATTTGGCAAGTATTGTTTAAGTATAATAGATGAGAAAAGTACTTATTCTATAGCCTAGTGACTCATTGAATAAATAGGTAGGGAAATGGTATCTTCTAAAAATGTGGTAGAAGTGAAATACATTGATTTCTTGGGTAGTTGAATGGAGAATATACATTCTTTCAAAAAGGAAATACGATTTAGGGTTTTGTCTTTTTCTTAAATATTTGTGTTTTTCATTTCTAGGCTGTTCGCTGCTACGAATCGCTAATCTTAAAAGCTGAAGGAAAAGTGGAGTCTGATTTCTTTTGTCAGTTAGGTCACTTCAACCTCTTATTGGAAGACTATCCAAAAGGTAATTTTTTGTCTTTTGTTAATTGCTATTTAACTTACGTATGTATTTAAAATAACTTTGCAGTGGTATTTGGGACCATTACCATATTTACTTCTAGGAAATTGTAAACTCATGAACATAGTAAATAATGAGAAAGAAAAGTGTTAAAAAGAAAATTTATACACAATTAAGTTTAGATTAAGCTTTATTTATAGTTAATGAATTTGGATAATATGCAAGTTAGATAAGAGCTTCAAAGAAGGCTTCAGCACACAGGAACAAGACGGGCTAGAGTGGGGAAATTTTGAATTTAGATTAAATTAAGCTGGTAAGCCCTAATTGTAATGTGTTAGCTTAGATTTTCAGTTTCTGGGGTTCAGTAGATTTGTTTAGATTTCAGATCCTAGGAAGGTCAGGTGTTCACATGAGATGGAAAATAGCTAGGTTTCAGTTTGCAGATGTAGAGCTCAGCAAAAGTGACTCCATAAAAGGTTTCATTTAAGAACAGATGATTTGAATAACTGAAGATAGTCATCCATGATGTGCTTTGTTAATAATACCAAGCTGCCAACCCAGACCATTACTTATTTAAGAAGTTGAAAGCACCTCCAAATACCACCACCCCACAATACCAAATGGAGTCCTGGTGTGGTGCTGTGGGTTAATGTGCTGGACTGCAAGGTCATTTGAACTGCAGAGTCACCAGCAGCTCCTTGGAAGCCCTATACAGGGTAGCTGTGAGTCAGAACTGACTGGATGGCACTTAACAACAATACCAAAGGAAAAAATCCATAGCAAATAAAACTCTATTATTATTTAAAAGAATATTTTAACCTTTTGATGATAGTAAACATCTTGATGGATGCTTTTAGTGAATAAAACAACCAGCAGGTAATTGGGTGAATAATAGTTGGTTTGTTGTGTTGTTGTTTTATACCACTTTTTGCTAGGTCAAGTGAATACTTCATTAATTAAAATGTAATTTTAGTTTCAAACAGGTATGCATACTCTGTGGGGTTTGTTTTTTTCTTATTTGTTTTCCAACTGGACTTTATTACTTACAGTTGCAGTACCTTTAAAAGATTATCTAACATATGTGATACAGATTAATATTTACCAAACTGTCTCCAATTCAACAGGATAATAGTTGCTAATAATGCTCATTTGTTTATAGTTTGCTGGATATTTCAACTTGGATTAAAACTTGTAACTAATATAAAGGAAAACATTATACAAAAGAAATACAGAATTATATACAATTTGCTAATTTTTCAACGCTGCAGCTTTTATTTGGAGAGCACACTAATTTGAAAGCACATAAACAGAGATCCAGACTTTGCATATGGGGTTATCTGTCCTTACTGCTCAGTAGTCATTAAATAATACATACATTTTTCAGCTATTTAAACCTTTACTAGTCCTTGACATTAAGCTGTATTTTCCATTTATGTAAAGTGTGGCTGTAAAGGGGATGAAAAATCCAGGGGCATTTGTCAGAGTTCCCCTCCCCCAATTTTGGAGGTTGTGTGGCAACTAGACTATGCTGACAAACTAGCTATTGGAAATAATCTAATAAGGAGGGAGGAGTAGAGAAGGACAGCCTAAGGATTTAAGCTTTTGAAAGATAATCTCTTAGACCTACCTACTTTTGTATAGATAATTTGCCATTGATAGGTAGGCAGTAGTTTGATTATTTATAATACGAAGAGGTGGAAGTAGAAAATAGATGGGAGGCATACATATCTGAGGACTTCAAAAAGTTAATGGGAAAAGTTCCATTATCTTTTAATTCCATTTTTCATGAACCTTTTGTTTCAAATCCAGAAACCCACATATGTTTTTGGAGGAAAAGTTTGCTGCAATCTGAACATAGAGTCCTTACCTAGCTCTGTGCTTGTCACCCTGAACTCCCCTCCTGATGGCAGGTATTGTCTTTAAATCTGCATATTGGAAGAGGGAGTAGGTGGTTGTTGTTGTTGTTAAAGTGCCTTTGAGTCGGTTCCAACCCATAGTGACCCTGTACAGGGTTTCCAAGGCTGTAAATCTTTAGGGAGCATAACGCCTCATCTTTCTCCCACGGAGCGGCTGGTAGTTTCGAACTGCTGGCCTTAAGGTTCGTAGCCCGATTCGTAACCACTATGCTACCAGAGCTCCTTTTCAAATCTTTGCCTTTATTTTCTTTGAGGGTGAAAAAAATATTATTTTAACCCTCTTCTAGAAGTGGAGTCCTGGTGTGGTGCTATAGGATAAGCACTGGATTACTAACCAAAAGGAGACTGGCACAAACCCGCCAGCCACTCCTTGGAAACCCTATACAGGGTTGCTATGAGTCAGAACCAATTTGATGACAGTTAACAGCAACATAATATGCTTTAGTATATTGTAATATTTCAAGCTGGTGACTCTGTTTCTTAGATGTATATTACTATTTTTTAAAACTTCCTTGAGAATTTATTGGCCACATTCATTTATTAAAATATTTTCATTTTAAATGTTGTTGTTAGTGCCATCGAGTTGGTACTGACACATAGCAACCCTGCATAGGGTTTTTGAGGAGCAGCTAGTTGAGCTTGAACCTCCAACCTTGTGGTTCAAACTGACTTTTGCAGTCCAGTGCATTAATCTAAAGAGCCACACTAATTAAATTTCTATTCCTTTGTTTTACGGTCTTCCTGCAAGAACTAGAACCATTCTCTGATACATACTCTCTCTTCCCCCTAACACACACACTTGCACACCATCCTCCAATTTATGGAGGAATTTCTTATTACAGACTGTTCCCCTCTTTGGTCCCGTACAAGATAAGAGAACTGCCAACCTCATGCAAGTAGGTATTATTCTTTAGAGAACCAAATTTGAACCATAACTTTTTGGGAGTACCATGTTGTCGTAAAGTCCCATTGAGTGTGTTTATACTCATAGCAACCCTGTATAGGATTTCTGAGGCTGTACATCTTTGCGGGAGCAGAAAGCCTCATCTGGTAGACTTAAACCACTGACCTTGTGTGGTTCACAGTCCAGTGCTTATCATACAGAGAACCACTGCATAGTGAACATGTAATTCTGTAATAAATTACTCAGGTCTGTATGTATATGTGAGGAACTTGCTGATCCTGTTGTTATGAAGACAGCCCTTTATTTGCCCTGAGTTGTTGTGTTCTTTGCATTAAATTTTCTGTTCTGTATTTGCCCTGAGTTGTTGTATTCTTTGCATTAAATTTTCTGAGTTTGGGGCATCTCTGAGGTTAGTTACTTGTGAAAAAGTGCTTCTACTTATGCCATACAAAAAGATAGAACATTATATGTAGAACTCTCTCTCTCTATATATATATAAAGTGCTGTCAAGTCGGTTCCGTGTATAGAGTTTCTGAGGAGCAGCTGGTGAGCTTGAATTGCCGACCTTGCAGTTCAAACCGACCTTGCATTCCAGCGCATTTAACCCACAGTGCCACACCAGGATATTGTTGTTAAGTGCCCCTACTTCTAGGCAGAATTTATTACCCCAGCTATTGGAAGTACTGTATACAGATATCCTCTAGCTTTGAGACTCTTCAGAGGCTGCCTGAGTTACAGAGACCACATTGACTATAAGGTCATGCTCTTTTCCACGCTAGCCCACATCCAGTGTTTAGTGGATGGAATATCAAGGTCTGGCCATCTTGGTCCAATTTAGGATAATTCTGAAGGGCCATTCTAACAACAGAGTTCTCCTGGGAGTAGAACCAAGGCGTTCACAGTTTAACTTCTCCAACCCTGGTTCCAGCCCCATCCTTCCACCAAAACCAAACCAACCCTATTGCCTAGAGTGAATTCCAATTTACAGTGAGCACAAGTGTTCCTAAAGGTAGTCCTTACCAAACACTCCTTAACTCCCTGTCAGACAGAGTCTGCTTCTCAGGGAATCCAGCCTATGACAATTGGTCAAGTGCACTGAGCCTCTATTTTACCAGAATCCCCTACCTAATTACTGTATTATTATAAATTCCTAGAAGCAAAATGGCTAGATCAAGTGACAGAAATTTTTGTTTACTTTTTGATACATATTATCAGCTAGAAAGGCTAAGAAAATGTTTTACAATGCTTAATTTCCATATGCTTCAAATCCATTTAAAATGGCAAAAATCTACCTTTTAATAAATAAATCTGTAACAGTAATGATAACCAAAGTATACTATCTGCAGACATGCATGAAAGACAGGAAGCAGATACGATTAATATTAAGAGAAATAAGGGAAGAAAATTCAGTCCCAAATGTAAAAAAAAACCCAAATTATATGCATATCTATGGAATCCTGGTATGCTACTGTGGGTTAATGTTTTGGACTGCAAACTCGGGTTGAACCACAAGGTAGCCAGTTCAAGCTCACCAGCTGCTCCTTGGAAACTCTATACAGGGTTCCATAATCATCCTGTATAGAGTTTAAAAGGATTGACTGGTGAGTTTAAACTGTTGATCTTGTGGTTAGCAGCCCAGTGGTCATCCTACAGTGCTGTTTTGTTGGTTTCAATTCATATTGACCCTCTGTAGGATTTCTGAGGCTATAAATCTTGACGGGAGCAAAAAGCCTCCTCTTTCTCCTGCAAAGCAGATGGTAGATTCAAACTGTTGAGTTTGTGGTGAGCATCCCAACTGGAAACCTACTACTATGTTACCAGGGCTCCTAGAAAACACAAAGTATGTTAAGTTCTTTCTTGAAATAAGATACGAAGCCTAATGGGAGTAGTGCATGATTATTGAGAAAATATGTAAATGAGTAGAAAGATAACAAATACTCTAGGAAGAAATGACTCAATTACAAATCTTTTCCTTTAGTTTGGAGCAACTATTTTTGTGACTTTCACTAGGAAGGAGGAGTGACGAACCGCTTCTGAATATTTAGTCACTGAAAACCTTATGAATAGCAGAGAAACACTGTCAGATATAGTGCCGGAAAATGAGCCCCTCAGGTTGCAAGGCACTCAAAATGCGACTGGCGAAGAGCTGCCTTCTCAGAGTAGAGTTGACCTTGATGAAATGAATG